CACCGCCCGCACCACACGCGCTTAGCTAGTCCAATTTAAGGGTGCTGCAAAGAAATTCGAATTTCCAGAATAAATAAAAAAAGAAAATGGAATAAATCAAAAAATGAGAAAAGAAGGTGGGGAATGAGATAATTCGAATTTTTGAAAAAAGTGAGGAAATATAAATCAAAACAAAGATAAAAAGAAGAAAAACAAAAATTTTTGAAATTGGGGGGAAGTGCAATCAGACTCGCTTTCATTCACACTTTACATGCATGCGAACAGTAACGCAGCAAACTAGCGATATGCGCCCACTCAAAACTCAGAGATACGACAATCCTAATAAGAGTTTATTTTCAGTGGCTATGGCGACTCAGCGCCCAAACAACTCTTTGTTCACATACACCGGATCACCCTGCATATCCTACACGCGTTTCTCTGAACACTCACACATACACACACACACTACACGCTAACTCTTGTTATGGCGGCTATGGCCGCAACTACCCTATCGCTATGCTACGCTCCTTCTCTCTCGCCCACTTCAGCTCCGGGCTCACTGCAAACCTCCTTGCACAAGTCGCTGTGGCAGCGCTTCCGCATGGCTCATGCAGGAATGAATGAAGCACTGGGCGCTGCCTCTTGATTTATACTTTTGAAGCTTGTTGGTCTGCCCTTTTCCATCGGCCCATGGTGCTCACAGTCCCTCGTGGTACTTGCTTGACCGGAACGGGACTGACTAGACCTTACCGCTGACTGAATGAGGACTCACTTTTATCTTACCGCTATCGTACTGCGAACGTACTGCAATTGGTCCACCACTTGCCCACTTGCCCACTTACTCGACCTTCTAAAAGGACTACAGCTAAGACTTATGGAGCTCACTACGACTTCTATTCTACAGATCTACAGATCGAATCCCCTACTACCTACGGACCCTACGACAGTCTGCTAACTGTTACAAATACACAGGTCATGGGTTCAAGCCTTGGGGTCGACACAGATATTGTACACCGGTAGGGTGAGGGCTAGGGATCGAGCCCTGGGGTCTGCATCTGCTACTGCAAAAAGATGAAAACCGTTTCACTCCCGCCGTCCCAAATTCGAGGTCCTCCGAGAATATCTTAGTCCAAGGCAGGACCCTTACCCTTCCTATCACGCTCATAGGCTCTGACTATGTCGGGAGTTGTTTCTAGAAGTTTTGTCCTAGTAAACCAGCGGTCGTCTTCCGGTTCCTGATAAGCAAACCGAACCTTATACTGTTTCTGTGGACGATCTCTACCCCCTGTCCTAAACACATCTTCATCTACAATGCCGTCAATGTCATATCTGCCATCTATATCCGGGGGGATCATGGATCTTCTTGAAGGAAACTGCCGACTTGTGACACACGACAACAACTTTGAAGCATGGAACACTGGGTAGGTGTGGAGGTGTGCTGGAATCTCGATAGTGTAGGACGGTCCATCCTCTCCGCCCTTGACTTCTAGAACTGGCCACGGTCCTCTATATGCAGGCAGTAACTTATGCGAGATGTTCTCCTCAGGTGCAAACTCTTTAGACTTGACCTAGACCAGGTCGCCTACCTGAAACTGAGACGGGCGACGGTGCTTATTTGCCTGTTCTATCATTCGGTGCTGGGCCTTCCTAAGGTTTTCAACAACTGTAGCTAACTCTCTCTCGTGCTGTATCGCGAACTCCTTGGTTCCGGGCGGTAGCCTGTGAATCTGATCCCGGGTAAGTCCCTCAAACGGTCTGCGAGGTCTAAAGGACTGTAACTCATTGAGAATGCGACAGGTAGACAAATGCACGTTGTTATTGTATGCGCTGGCTACCTTGGGCAACATCTCGTCCCAATTGACTTGATCCGGTCTAATATACATGCGCAAAACTTGCCGCAGGATCTTGTTCATCTGTTCTGTCTGACCGTTAGTCTCTGGATGACGGCCAGATGACATCAACAACTTTGAGCCATAGACTCTCATCAGTTCCTGGCAGTTCTGACTCGT